AAATTTTAATAAAAATATTTCACAATATTACTGTTTTTGCTGTATTTTGGATCAAATAAATGAAGGCTTGGTGAGCAGAAGAGACTTCTTTAAAAAACATTAAAAATCTTACTGATCAAAAAAACCTTTTGACTGGTAGTGTATTAAAACACAATTTCTAAAGTGCCTAAATGTCAAAAATTAGTAGGCTACAATATATTTGCTGAAATAGTCTAATACACTATTGAATTATTAGGCTGTTACTCATATTATTTTTATGTTGCTGTCTGCTCTAGCTCCCTCCCTGTACAATAAATTCATGTGAATATCTGTCCCTGCTAATGGCACTTTATAATCGATATTGATATCCTTTAGCACAGTATTCTGAATGATGATAATAATGGGGTGCTACTGATAGCCTAACAGATACTAGCAGTTTAATACTCATAAAACAAATCTATCTAGCGTATTTACAGATGAAACTGACCTGCACTTTTGTGGGAAGTCGTGGCCTAATGGTTAGAGAGTTGGACTTGTAACCCAAAGGTTGCGGGTTCGAGTCTCGTAGGTCTCTCTCCCACCTTCAATACCACAACTGATGTGCCCTTGAGCAAGGCACCGAACCCCCAACTGCTCCCCGGGCTGTGGCTGCCCAATGGCTGCCCACTGCTCCGGGTGTGTGTTCACGGTGTGTGTGTTCACTGCTGTGTGTGTGTGTGTGTGTGTGTGTGCACTAAGGATGGGTTAAATGCAAAGCACTAATTCCTAGTATGGGTAACCATACTTGGCCACATGTCACGTCACTTTGAAGAACAATAGACGAGAATCCATTGTAGCCCTGAACAGGTCAGTGATGTTGCTACATTTCACTGCTGCTTCTGGCCACTTCCTCTCTTTCATCGAGTCTCGCGCATCGGTTCTGTTCGGAACCGTTTGACGGAAGCGTGGAACACGTGAATAGGAATATAGTATATTCCTATAGCGCAGCGTTGCCAGTCAAGACTAACCGATTTATTATTGAATGAAAAAATCGAAAATGATCACTTTGGTACATTGAGAAGGCATAAATATAAAATATTAATATTAATAACAATGATAATAACAAAAAAAAAAATAAAATCAGCCGCCAGGCCACTGGGAATTCTCCCGGTGCTCCCGATGGCCAGTGCTGTATATATCCATTTCACATGCACACCCGCTCGCTTGTGTGTCATACAGGGAAACTGGTGCTGCTGCCTCCATCCGATAAAGTTTCAGCATCTCTTTTGTCTCCTTCAGGCTCATTGTGTTCTCATTCAAATGTGGTGTGATTATGAGGGGGAATGGTGAAAATACAGGCGAAAACCCATGTGACAGGCGGATCAGTCTGTAAATGCAATAATGTGCACGTTTCATGCTTATAACTGGTCAAAAATCGGTCTAAATGGGTCAAAATGGTCAGGTTAAGAATTAAAGACTGTAAATCTGCTATGAATATAACTGGTTTAATGCAAGTTAAGTTCAATAGACAGTATTTGCCTTGTTTTCTTTATTAACAAAAAAAAATCAAGGTTAGGGCAAGAAATTTACAAAGGAAATGAATGGGGCTAATTTTTGGACGATAAAACAGCTTAATTTTATAAAAGCACATTATTTTTATACATTACATTTTTTTCAGTTAAAACTTCTGTATATGAATTTGAAAAGCTGTTTATGTAATCATTTTTACTGTCTTGCTATTAATGTTTATTACATTACACTGTCAAACAAAGTTGTAAAATTGAATATAACCATGTTACGTTAGTATTGTTTATATACTATTATGATTTTTATTAATAGTTTTAATTAGCTTTTATTTTGATATTTTCAGTTTTTATTTTAAATTTGGTTTAAGTTGTAGTACTTTTATTATGTGCTTTTGTCAGTTTAATTTTTTTATATTTCTATATAGCTTTATTTTATTTAAGTTTTTTTGTCATTTTTATTTTTTATTTCTATTTCTATATAGCTTTAATGAATCCCCCTCCCCTCCCGTTTTTAGTTTTATTTTAGTTTTGTTTATAAGTACTTCTACTTAAACTTATTTCATTTAGTTGCCATACTTTTGAAACAGTGATTATTTGGCCTTGTTCATTTTTATTGCAAGTGTCTTTTTTTCTTTTTTTCTTTTTAAGAATATAATTTTTTGTGGTAATGAACTCTGAATATTCTTTAATATTTTTATAAAAATAAGTGCTCATTTAATAAGTGTCTAATTTGCGACAAGACATATTGTTTTGCTATTTTAAGTCAATAAGTAAATATAAGATACATGTCAGAGAGTGAACAAACATCTGATTATGCTTTTCTGTTTGGCTGATTTAGCATTTTTGCCATCCTGCTCTTCAGATAGATGAACCCATTTCAGTGTACTAGTTTGTAGTGTGTAATAGGCTGATATATTAGAGGTGTTGTGAAGCTTTGCTGATGGCTTCTATTGTTCTGAAGTATCTACCCGAACAATAGCAGCTTTCAACAGAGCGAATGTTGTTCTGTGTGTGTTAAAGCTCAGTGTGAAAGAAGAGATGTGAGTATAATCCTTCAGTGAGTCGCGCTGAAATAGAGACGTCTGCGAGACACACACTCTTCGGGACTTCTGAGGGAATCCTTGGAGTTTTCAAGGTAACCGTTGTTGTGGTGCTAAGTATTAGAGCGTGTCATCAGACGGATTCGGAGTCTGAAGTGTGTCTGATTGAGGCGCTATCAGATTCACCTTGCTCTCAGGATGGTTTATCTGGAGATGTGGTCTTGTGGTGAACCGTCGGGAGCTGTTGAGCTGTCTTACGGTTTGGACAGGTTTGCTGTGATTTAGCTTTCCGTGCCAGCCGTCCTTCTCAATGAGGGTCTTTGTGCCGTGCTGCTAATTTCAGCTCCGGAATATTTTACCCAACTGCCAAACGGGACGGCCGTAAAAGCCAGTGCACTGTGAAGTCTTTCCCCTGTGGTTCAGCATGGCTGAAGTGTGTGTCTGTGTGTTTGTGTGTTTCCCTTTTCCTCTAGAGTGTTAACAGACACACCTTGTTCTGTGCTGTGTATTGTTTTGCGATTAAACTTGGCGGACAATAAAATAGGCCAAAAAATTCCCACAGACGTTGAAATACATGGCTGATTCGCTGCACTATTCAGAGCTGCAGGTTTGCACAGTAACAGCTGGCTGAGTCATGAGTAGAGGATTGTGGGTAATTGCGAAATGGAGGATGTGCACCTGTTTGAAGCGCTCGCCACTAAAAAGCATCAGAAAATGACATGAATTGGAAGATTTGCATCGTCTTTTCTTTTGTCAAATTCTCTATCGATACAAACAAACACATAAAGGGATGCCAAGTGTCTTTTTCATGCTTCATTTGCATTTCCATCATTCATACATGTCATATTAAAGACACATCTATTATACAGTGATCACTGATCTATAATAAAGAACATTTACAAATAGAGAGTCATTTATATAGATCGGGGACAATGACGCCAAAAATATTAGGACAATTAGGTCACGCTTAAAACTGAATGCTTTTTTTTTTTTTTTTAAAGAAAGGGTCATTTATTAAAAAGTTGTTATGATATTTAGTATTAAAACAGGTGTAATGCAATTTTTAAAAGGATATTAGGATATATTGTATCAAAGCAAGAGTAATTTTTTTATATTTTTGTTTCAAAGCAGGTGTCATTTTAAAAAATATATATTAATGATATTGCGTATCAAATCAAAAGGGATGCCAAGGGGCTTTTTCATGCTTCATTTGCATTTCCATCATTCATACGTGTCATATTAAAGACACATCTATTATACAGTGATCACTGATCTATAATAAAGAACATTTACAAATAGAGAGTCATTTATATAGATCGGGGACAATGACGCCAAAAATATTAGGACAATTAGGTCACGCTTAAAACTGAATGCTTTTTTTTTTTTTTAAAGCAAGGGTCATTTATTAAAAAGTTGTTATGATATTTAGTATTAAAACAGGTGTAATGCAATTTTTAAAAGGATATTAGGATATATTGTATCAAAGCAAGAGTAATTTTTTTATATTTTTGTTTCAAAGCAGGTGTCATTTTAAAAAATATATATTAATGATATTGCGTATCAAATCATGTGTCATTTATTTAAAAAAACCATTTGTATCAAAATGTTTTACAGTATTTGTATTTGTTTTTTTTATATCAAAGCAAATGTAATTTATCATTAAAATATATTATGGTGCTTTGTATCAAATTAGGTGTCTTTTAAAAAAGCATATATTTGTATCAAAGCAGATATCATTTTTTTAAATAAAAAGCATGTATTATGATATTTTGAATCAAATCAAGTGTCATTTATTTGGAAAAATATATATTTATTTTATTTTATTTTTATTTTCTTTTATTAGTAGTAATTTTTTTTTAATGCAATGACATTAAGTGTTCAAATACTTTATGATGCCAAATGTTTTCACTGATAAACAGCATTAAATTCAGTGTCTGAGAGACGAACAAAGCTGTGAATGTGCAAAAAATATTTGTTTTTGCCCTACACGTTATAACCCATGTTGAATTAGCACTAATTTAAACACCACCCACCCTCTCTCTCTCTCTATCTTAGTATGAAAGGGATGTCTTTCACATCCCTTTCACAATTACATTGACTGACTTGTGACTGGTGCTGATGTGGCTCTGTCTGATGTCTTGTGTTTCGCATTAGATGTTTTCTGTATCTGATTGGTGGAAAAATGCAGTGACATGACATCAGAAATCAACAGCATCAGGCAGCTAATAATCAGCCAATAACCCTTTAACGGTTTTCTCAGTTGATTGGTGCACCATACTTTGGTAGCAGATTTTGCTCGTTTTCTGAACCATGATACTCAAATCTCCAACCTTTAAGCAGTCTCTAGATGTGACCAGTTTTCCTGTTTTATTGTCCATTGATCAAACGATACAGCACGTTATACGCTAAAGTTTAATATTTGTTCAAATCGTGTTGCTTGCCTTTGTAAAACATATTATTATGTGTGTTCCTACAGATTTCCATCGCTCAGGGTTGGATGGTTTGTGGGAGCTAATGCATGGGGGACAGCGATACGTGTGCAGGTAAACACAGTCACACACACGCCAAAGCTTTACCTTACATATATGTCCACTGCTGGTCGAGACCCCGCTGTTACCGGTAATGTTTATACCTCCGTAACGCGATCAACACGGAAGCTTTAGGTACACCATAACCTATATGTGCGCAAACAAGCTCCGTATTAGCAGAACGAGCGGGCAGGAGTCTCATATCTGTAGAGAGGAAGAGAGGTTAGAGGTCATGCTCGGGGGGCCGCGAGCTGGTTTCATGTTTCAGGTGAGTGTACAGACAACAGACAGACAACACTACACACATGATACCACTCTGAATGCCAGGCTGTGGAGGCCAGATAAAGACGGTAGTGTGAACGGGAGAGAGAGGGTCGACTGTGGTGAGGTCTCCGCATGATATGAGATCTGCGTCTCGTAGTCAGTGACATGGACGCTCTATATTTGGGAGCTGAAGCACGACTGCTGACCCCTAGATCTACTCCACCACCTGCTCACACACACACACACACACACACACACACACACAGGGGTTGCGTGTCTTTGGAAACAGAGCACAACAGTCGGGTTCTGGATGTAAAATCTCATTAATTTCCCTCATTGATGAAGTGATTTGGGATGGTAATGTATAAACGTTTCATGACAGATTTGTTGTGAGCATCTGAGATTAAGGGATGAAGATACCTCTGTAGAAACTCCCAAGAGTCAGTCTTATTGGGCTTTTCATCTGCTCATTTATTTGTATATATATAAATATATATATAGAGAGAGAGAGAGAGAGATTTTTTTTTAAAGAAATTAAGACTTGATTGATCAAAAGTGACAGTTTAGAATTTGACAAAAGATTTCTATTTCGAATAAATGCTGTTCTTTGAACTTTCTATTCAAAGACTCCTAAAAACAATTTATCACATTTTCTACAAAAAATATAAATCAGAACAACTGTTTCCAACATTGATAATAATCAGAAATGTTTATTGAGCAGCAAATCATTATATTAGAGTGATTTCTGAAGGATCATGTGACACTGAAGACTGTAGTAAGGATGCTGAAAATTCAGCTTTGCATCACAGGAATAAATTACACTTTAAAATATATTAACATAGAAAACTGTTATTTGAAATTGTAAAAATATTTCACAATATTTCAGTTTTTACTGTATTTTTGATCAAATAAATGCAGCCGTGGTGAGCAAGAGATTTTAGAAAACATTAAACCCCAAACCTTTGAACTGTAGTGTCTACATATATATATATTGTATATGTGTGTGCATATATATACACTATAATTTACAATAATCAGTAATTCTATCAGTAGTTTTATTTTGTACTGCTTGAATCAATTACATTATTCGCAATGTTTCATGGGATGCAAATTCCTTGCCTATAAAATAGGTACACAAAAGTGCAGTCTTGTATCTTTGTTTTAATAAATCCACAAGGAAACTCTAGATCCAGCAGAAAATCCAACAGAGCAAAGCAAAAGCAAATCCACAAACTAGTAACCGGCAAAGGACTGAACAGAACAGGGAGAACTTATATAGATACTAAACGAGGGAACTAATGAGATGATTAATGAACACAGGTGAACTGAATGAACTAATCAAAGGAGAGACAGAAACTAGGTCAAAGTCAAAATGGGCATGACTAAAACTAAAACTAAAATGAAAACACAACAAAAGAAGTCTGTAACTGTGACAGTATGCTAATACGCTGTTGCAATTATGGCCAATGTCCCAAAACTTTATTCGCAATGTGTTTGCTGTTTGCAACACATTTATATTTTGTTAGAATATATGACTACTTTTGAATGAGATACTTTTTTTTGGTAGTATTATGGTAGGGACTGCATCTAACTAGCAGGGGCTAAGCAGACATTTAAGAAGTGTGCACAAAATGTATAAATTCCCAGGCTGCTACAGTGAACACCTGTGAGTGGCTTCAAGTTTTTCAGTCACAGTTTTGCTTGAAGCATTTAGCAGCAAGTAAATCCGTTATCATACAATCTCAATTCCTTTTTCCACACCTGTATATGGTACAATCTATTTCAGATAAACCCACCTCTAAATGACATGTAAAGACAAAACAAATGTGGTACATTTACATATCACTCAAACAATCTCTTCCTGTCTAAGTGGGCGGTTTGTGTCCAGACTAAGCTGACCGATATCCACACACATGCATGCTTCAGTTCCTCATCCTTTCTCCTCTTGGTCTCTTTGCTCCGTTCATATCTTTATTTTCTTCCGGGTGGGATATTATATGTTTTCAGAGGTAGTCGACTTTTTCACAGTGCTCTGACTGACTGATCCTAAAACAGAGGTCGAAGGTCATGTTCAGAGGTCCTGACCTCCAGTGGATTGCCTGTGTAGGAGTTGTTATCAGGATCCATTTGCATTTTTTTTTTCTGAGACGTGCAGTTGTAAAAACAGTTTTAATGGTTTTATGTCCAGACTGAAACATTTTGTGAGTATGTGTTTGTCATTATGTGATTTACTTAATTTATTTTATGAATTGGGTGCCTAAATGACATTATAAGTGGCTACAATTAATTCTTAGTGAATTCCCCATTGTTCACGATATTTTTTTACTTACCAGCCGATATTTTTTTGCTTACCAGTATTAATGTTATTAAACATTAAACATTATTTGCCCTATTTTTACATTTAGATCACTTTTGCCACTAATAATGTAATAAAAAAGTTAAATGCATAAGATAATGTTTAGAATGAAAACAATTAATACAATTGTAATACAGTATTTTAATGTTTTAATTTATCAGCCATTTATCAGATATTAAATTTATCAGCTATTTATTAAATTTATTGACCATTTATCACTTTTCTACATAAGCTTATTTGTGCCAGTTTATAGCTTTCGATTCTCAGAATTGTGAGATATAAATTCAGAATGGCAAGATATAAAGTCGTAATTCTGAGAAGAAAAGTCAGATTGTAAAATATAATCTCGCTATTGTGAAGAAAAAAAGTTAGAATTGAGATATAAAGTCGCAATTACCTCTTTTTATTGTTTATGCCGTGCTGAAAAATAAAATCTGAATTGTGACATGTTAAGTGTAAAAACATTTCAAAAATGCAAGATGTAAATTCAGAATTCTAAGAAAAAAGTCAGAATTGGGAGATGTAAACTTGCAGTTAATGAGTTTATAACTTGCAATACTGAGTTAAAAAGTCACAATTAGCCTTTTCCATTTATTATTATGTGGCCAAAATAAGCTTCCATAGTTTTCAGCCATATCAAGAAATGATTGGGTTATTGAAATTGGCCAAATTTTTAATAGTGGTGCAGCCTTACCATCCATACCAGCTCATCATGAACAAAGCTTTTTCAGGGTTCGAACCTGTAACATAGGGCTGGGCGGTATGATGGTATCGTTACCGCAGTATAAAGTGTCTATAGAGATTTTGCTATATTGTGTATTCTGCGGTATGCAAATATATCTGCGTAACATAGTACTACTTAAAAGTTATAACTACTTTTGAGTGACAAGGAAACATGCATGAATGAGAAAATAAAAAGTGGGATGCACTTGATAGAGTTATTAAGTGCAATAAGCAGTGAAAAATAACTCAATGCTGTGCTCGCGCTGACTGACACACACACACACACACACACACACACACAGAAAGCGCCTCTCTCAGACAGCATGCGATCGTGAATTTGGGACATGCATGATGTTTAATAAAGTTGTTAATCGCAATAAGCAATCCGCTGCTCGCGCTGACTGACACACACACACACACACACACACACACACACACCCAGAAAGCGCCTCTCTCAGACAGCATGCGATCGTGAATTTGGGACATGCATGATGTTTAATAAAGTTGTTAATCGCAATAAGCAATCCGCTGCTCGCGCTGACTGACACACACACACACAGAAATACCCTCTCTCAGACAGCATGCGATCGCAAAAACAGATCAGAAATCAAAATGGTCAAATATGCACACAGTTATGTCAAAATGCCAGTTAAACAGTTGGCATAAACAGTTGAAAACCGGATGTGTATCAGTATATTGGATCCGTGCAGTTGGTCTTAAAGGGACAGCAGTCTAATTTACAGTACCTGCTGCTGTCTGTCATTATTTATGTTAATCACTCACTGCACTTGACTGAATCACTTTTGGATCTTTAATAAGAATCAGTTCATGTTTGATTGATACAGTGAAGACTATGGAGTGTTTTATTTATACACTTTATTAAATGTCTGTAATATTTCTTACTACATGTTAAATAAACCTACTGTAGCCTACTGTAACTGAATAAATTAAAAGTGTATTTTATATTTATTTGTTCTATTGTCTTTGTAATTTGCTTCTTTTTCTTATTTTTAATAACAAAAACATAGCTATATCGAGATATATATCGTTATTGTGAAAAAAATTCTCATACTATGAAATAAGATTTTGGTCAATATCGCCCACCACTGCTGTAACCTTTCAGTTACCATCTTGATCTTTAACCGCTATACCACCCATCCAGAAATATTCATGACAACTTTTAGCACTTTCCAAATGTCAAACATTTGCCCTTTAAACTCGAAGATGAGGAGAAATCAAAAATAGATCAAATAGTTATGTGTAATTGCCATCACTTCCTCTCGCCTTGTTGTCTGTCTCTTTATCACGTTTTTTTGCCCTCTGTGACCCTTTGCTTTTGTCTCGTTCAATCTTTTCTTCTAATTGACACCTTGTTAGGGAATTCCTAATTGGAGGGATGAGCCAGGTGGCAGCGGAGCCGCTATTGCCCTCGTTAGTTTGTGAATGTGTGTGTGGGTTTGTCTTTGCTTAAGCAGAATAGATGTGGAGCAGCCTACATGTGCTGATTATGTTCCATTCACCTATGTTGAACTCTAACACATTCCCCTCACAGTCCACCGACGCGCACACACACACACACACACACACACACACACACTCACTCTGCCTCGCTATCTGTGTGCCGCTGACCATTTCCATTGATCATAGGCACCTCGTTAGTTTGTGAATGTGT